AGTTCTATGGTGAATCAATCAAAATCCATAAAAGAATGCTGGCATTCAACTTCATATGCATGTACACATAATTTTAATGGTGTAACTATCTAAGGCTTTGATCAGAAGAATTTGAGAGCACAGAGGTCAAACAATATGGTATCCCAACATAAATTCTGTGAGGGTTCATGTTTTACCTCCCTGGTGCTCAACTGAGACTCTGGAGACATTTCTATTATAAAATCGTAACCAGTCTTTATTGGAACATGTAACAATAAATTGTGTTACACAACCTTATCTTCAGCCTTCTCTCTTGTTGCCAACAGGTCCGGCGAGGGCATCCAAACGTCTTTAACACAGGGGTTATTAACCAACTCATCCCAAGGTCCCTTCAAAAACAGATTACTGTCCTCTAAATCATGAGTCTCTATCTCCGGGTTCAGAAGTGGGGTGGTCTCATTGTCTCGTACCTCCGTCCCATAGACATCCTCCTCTCCTCGTAGAGGGGTCCAGGGCCCGTTAAGTAGCCCCTCCTCTGGGCTTCCTCTAAACCCGGCATTCTCTCTCTTCCCTGGACACTGCTTCTTTCTCCTCCCTGAGCCACCTGCACCACTCTTGGGCCTCAGACTCTCCCCAATAGGAAGGACGTTGCAGTAGACCCCTTCTTTTCTGGTAATCGCCTTCCTCCCAAGGAACCTGCACCTTTTCCCATTTACCGGTCCATGGATCCTCTACCCATATCATCTCCCAACCCCCCGGTATCAAGTCAACCTCTCCTTTTATATCTCCCATTCCCGCCTCTACAGCGGACCTCCCCCTTTCCTCTCTTCCCACCAATTCACCACCCGTTTGTGTGGCCACTGTCATTTTCAAAAGTTCCAGCTCCAACTCCCGGGTGTCAACTCCCCGCTGCTTAGTCTCGATGGGAGGTATAGGCAGGTTTATCTGTGACTCTTGCTGTCTTTTGAGGGAGGACGACACTCCGGCAAGAGCCTTTACACTCTCGCCTTGTGTCTCACAGCTTCTCTCAGAGAGCTTCAGCTACTGATGTGGACAGGACAGATCTTGGGCTTCACCGGGGTGTCAAATCTCTCCTTTGGTCCTGGCTCAACAACTTCCTTCTAAGGTATTGATACTTTTGTTCCCTTTTCCTTTTCCCTACTTTTAATCACATGACATTTTTTCTATTGCAACATTTTAATTCCACAAATGCCCGATTTAACCTCAAGGATTTGTGGGAGTGCCACTCTGCCTCATGAACACCTTCAGCTCTTTGCTTCACCCTGTGGTTTCCTTATAATAAGCATGTCCCATCAAGGAGATGCTCACTTATGGCAACCTAGGGAGGACAACTCAGAAGTCCCATATTTCTCATGTATAAGATACCCCCATGTATAAGATGCCCCCACTTTTCTAACCCAAAATTAAGAAATCTAAGCAGGTCTTAGCAAGTGGAGGGGGAAGCAGGGATCAAAGCACTGCAGGATCGCTTTGATTCCTGCTTTCCCCCTCCACTTTCTTGTCAATAAAGTCCCTGCTTTCCCCCTCCACTTTCTTTGCAAGAGAAAAAGCAGGGATCATCGAAGCGCTTGTGAAAAAAGTGTAGGAGGAAAGCACTTTCTTTGCAAGAAATGGGAGGGGGAAAGCAGGAATCAAAGCACTTTTCTACCAAGAGGCACAGTGCGGAATGAAACTCTGAACCTCAGGCTCCACAGCGAGATGCCTAACACACTGAGCTATTCAGCCAGCTGTGGTCTCCCTGAAAATGCACAAACTATCTTGACATATAAGGCTGCAATCCACTGTATATTTACTTAGGCCCAACACTTATACAATGCAATATAAACCTAAGACTGAAATCCCTTGCATGCTTATTTGGGCATAAATCTCAAAAGAACCAGGTAAGGATGCATTGGATCAGACTGAAAAAAGCAACATGGAAGATTGTGAGAGTAAAATCTCTTGTTCTGCAACTTCTTAGTTAGGCTCATTTGCAATACTGCTTTCCTAAAAGCTGTTCTGTAAGCCAACATTCTTCCTGAAATAATTATAATGTTTATTATGCTGGCTCACTTTCCCCAAATTTGATCATTGTTTACACACTTGTCCAAAGGCAGTGCCCAGCTAGCTCTTTTGTACTTTTAGGGTTCATAAACTGGCTCATACTGATCAATAAGCAAAACTGAACAGATAGAAACAGCAGTCAAGATTGCTGTTCCAACAGCCTACTTCAAAAAACAGGATAGATCCATGTCTCAATTCTCCCCAGCAATGGAAAAAGGTTACCTCTGCCAACTGAATTCATGTATTCCTTCTCAAGACCAGATGTTGCATGGTTTGCCTGCTGCCTCTCACCTGTCACAGAAACATTCCACCTTAGGAGAACACAAATAATGTTTCCATGCAAAAGAAATTTCAGAAACTGAAATGTTTCTTGTTCCTGTTTAGCCAGCTGAAATTGCTAAAGTCCCTCTTATGCTCAGCTACCAGAAAATATAGGTGCTGTAACATCTGCATCTGTGTACTCTATACTGTATACAGAGCCACTTGGTCCAGGACAGGGGATCTGTCCATACTAGCTCATCAAAGCTAGACTTACAGATCACACTGTGCAAGGGCCAAAGGGTGAAGGGGGAGCAGGGAGAAATCACTGAGCAATTTAGCTTACTCTTCCTCCTGACCCAATCAAAAATGAGCTAAGAAGCACTTGAGAAAAACTTGCATCTCCCTGGTGACTCTGTTAGGTATGTATAAAAACTATGTCATTACATCATTGTTGGCACTTGTAAGATCACACATTCATGCCATTGTTTTATTTGATACTAGTCCAAGTTCCTCAACTTGGGAATAAAGGCTTTTTTTATGTTAAACAGCTCTTCCTAAATTTTCTCTGAACAATAAATGTTAATTATTCTACCTTTTCCTCCGCTTCCTTCCTTAAACTGCGGATATCTTTTAAAGGAAGCAAACAAACCCTAGAAAGCAAAATGAGCAGCAACAACAGTGCCATAAAATGAAGTTTCTGTTTTAAGAGCTGACCATCACTACTGTTTGAATTAAAGTTAACAAATAACTGAAAAACTAAACACTAGTATACAGCACAAGAGTAAAATCTTAACACTAGCCAATTCAACTATTGCTCTGTCAACTGTTCCCAACATATTTTTTGGCACAAGTACTGTATGTAGCTATAAAGAGATATATATTTGTTAGAGTATTCACCTGCTCATTAGGCTTATATAAGCCTAATAAGCAGATGAATAGTCCAACAACAAACTGATGCAACTAAGGCTACAATTGACTGCATGCTTACTTAAGCTTAACAGCTAAACAATACAATATAAATGTTAATATCTAAGACTGCAATCTTGCATGCATGCTTATTTGGGTATAAGTCCCAAAGCACGCATGCACTGGATCAGACTGCAAAAGGCAATGTAGACAATAATGAGAGGAAAATCCTAGCTGTTGTTCTGCAACTTAATTAGCTTCATGTGCAACACTGCCTTCCTAAAAGCTGGTCTGTAAGCTAGTATTCTTCCTGAAATAAGTATACTGTTTATTAGTCTGCTATGAAAAAGGGTTGCACACTTTCCCCAAACCAGTAAAAACTATACCACAAAACAGAAACTTGAAGAGGGGGAAGCATGGAAGGAAAGATATTCAAACGTTCCTCACGCTGTTCAGGAAGCTGGATACTCTCCTGCAAGCCAAGTTGGTGGAACAACCATCTGACCTGCGGTTTTTCTCCTTCTTGTCATCACAGCATTTCCCACAGAAATGCTATGGAGAACAAGAGAAGCAGTTTGGAAAGGTTTTCCTCCTAGTGAGTGTACTGGCAATGCACTCGCCATTAGAGAAAAACTTGTAAGAATGTTATAATGTATGTGTGCAAAAGAAACGTCAAGAATTCTAGGACACACACACACACACACACACACACACACACACACACACACACATGTTATCAGCACTGCAGAAAGCGTTGCACTCCAGCAAGTTCTACATGTGCGAAAACCTAACTGCTCTTTCCCAGTGATCAAACCGAGGGGGGGGGTGTCCTCGGAAAACGAACAATGCACCTACTCCTGCTTTTCTTTTCCATACTGGAAAGCACACAGCAGGCGGCACAGCAATAAACCGACTGGCAGATTTATCTGCCTGCATCGACACTGCTGATGGGAGAGAAATGGCTCCAGCAGCAGCAAAGTCCAGAGAGTCTCCTCCGTCTAGCTAGAGAGCAGCACCCAGGTTTACAAACCACTGTACAACTCGCGTATAAAGAGCCATCTATGTGTAGCATCTGCGAAGTTTCGTGCTCTGGGTTTCTTCTCCCCAGGCGTAATTCAACTTCNGGTGGGGGGGTGGGAGGACCAGGGTTGGTTTTTTTTTTTTATGTGTGTGTGTTTAGAGAGCAACAACCCTTTTTGATCCCCGGCCGCCTAGCCTGTTCGGTGAAATCCCAGCTTTTTTCGGCAGCTTTTTGCAGGAGGCTCCAACACGTAACGAGCCTGAGATCCGCTGCTTTTGCGTCTGCTTTTCTCCCACACCCACACGGTCACACAAATACCCGGAAGACTAGAATTTGGGACGATCAAGCGAGAACTTAAGCTAAGTGCCAGAAGCGGACTTATTTAGCAGTAATCTCACTAAAATGAGCAGGAATACTGACTGATGATGTGTGTCGATTTACACCACCACCCCTCAAATGTACGTACTGGATCGTGGCTGCAGAAGCAATAAACCAACAAGCTCCACACAGAGAAAAGAGTTTTGCATATGCCAGTTTTCCGGCACACCGCTTGCTAGGAACACAAGGCTAAAGAATCGTGGTCCTTTCCCCTCGGCCCCTTTCTCCTACCACATCTCAGAAGTGATAAGCACATGGAGGAAAGTCGGCTGAGCCAAAGCCGCCAGCATGTCCGGTGCCCCCCCTCCCCATCGCTCGTCAGGCGGTCTTCATTGCAATGACTAGAAAGCAAAGAGCCCGAGCCGGGTCCGTCCCTTCCCGCTCGACTTACCGTCCAAAGGTGCGGCTTCCCCGCGGCTTCCTTTGCAGATTTGGCCCCCGGCTGGTAAATCCTCAGCGCAGAAAGGAACCTAGGCGGAGACACCGCGAGGGCGGGCCGGCGGGCGAGGGAGTCCTCCTCCCGCCTCAGCTTCTTGGGGCCACTTTTTGGACGACCCCTCCTTCCAGGCCTCTCTGACTGTGGCCAGTCTAAGGAGGAGGCGCGAGCCTTTCCCGGCTTGGCTTCTGCTTCCCGCGGGAAGGAAAGAGCGGCGCAAAGCGAGGAGGCTCTTTCGCTGCCTTGCCTTGCCTTGCCCTGCCCTGGACCGGCCCACTCCACACGGACGTCCCCCTGCCTGCCTGCCTTCCCCCTTCTCCCCCCCCCCACAGCCCGCCAGATTAAAGGCAATGAGGGCGGCGGCATAGGATGGAGAGCGAGGCTGTGCTGGTGGGGAGCGGTAGGGGTGCTCGGAAGAAGAGCCCCCGCCCGCCTGCCCGCCAGAGCGAAGTGGGAAATCTCACCCACCGGAGAGGGAGGACGAGGAGAAAGCGGGAAAAGAGCGTTGTGAGGAAGAAACAGAAGTGGGGTGGGGTGCCCGGGCCACCGTCCAGAGAGGGGTTTGCCCGTAGCGGGATTCCTGAAGGCAAAAAAGGAGGGACGTGGGGAACAAGTGCGAGGAAGAAAGGGGACACCAGCCGAGAGTTTTCTAGACTAGGAGGGAACATTAGATCCGTGCACGGTCCTATTTACAGGCAGCAAACACAGAAGTCGGTTGGAAAGTGTTCTGGAGAGACTAGCGGGGTACGGGGGGGGTTGAGGAGGGTTGTGTTTTTTTTTAAGCAAAATGGTCTGGTTTCTGAGGTAAACGGAAAACGGGGGTAACTGAGGAGGATGGGGCTTGAAGTGAGGTTGAAAGGGTGCTTCACCCTCGGGAGATGGAGGGGGTTCCCCTTTGCCTCTCCCACGACCTGAGGGAAGGGGAAAGGGGAAAAAAACAAGATGGAAACAATGGACTCCAAAACAAACCCCCACAGCTGTTAGTTCCACCTAGAATAGACCCGCTGAATGAATGGGGTTGGTGAAGACCACAGTTGTATGAGTCAGCGGGTCTGCTTTCGTTGGAACAAGCACTGAATTTATCTCAGCCTGATTCTATCTATGTACAGTACTGTATTATGAAGCAAGAAAGGAAAGAAGCGGAGGGGACGCGTGGTGAGGTGACTAAGGAGGACTTCACTTGGGGGAAAGTGGTGGTGGTGGGGCGAACAGGAGATAAAGAGAAAAGGAGGGCCGCTGTTGGAGGGGAGGTCAGAAACAAGGAACGTGCATTCTTTCCTTTTTCTTGTGGGTGTGTTTATATATGAGAATGAGAGAGACTCCCGCCTTCCCACGTGGAAGGAACCCGTTTTTTATCCGAGGAAAACGCACTGGGCAGGAGGTGCGCCTGGCGAGGCTGGAAATGGGGGCTACCCCGCGGACACGCAGCCAAGGCAGAGCGTCCCGAGAGGCGCAGGACGAGGTCAGCCGCTGTGTGTTGATATACGAGGGAGGCCCCACGGCTCCCAGCAGCGGCCGGCCCGGCGGGCGAGCGGGCGGGGAGGAGAGAGCCGGGCAGACACAATAAAGAGTTCATGGATGGAGCAAAGCGGGGAGGGGGGTGGAGGAGGGAAAAGAAGAAGCCCTGCATGCCGCCAGGGGTTGCGGCACTGCCGGAGCCAGTCCCTCTGCTGCTCATTAGGACCATGTGGGAAGGAAGGGAGCGCGGAGGGAAGCGACGAAAGAGTCACGACAGATCTGGCCTGGGGGGGAAACCCAGATTTGGACAGGATGGGGAAGAGCGGCTGGAGTTCCCACCAGCTCAGCCTGCACTATACTTCTTGGCACCGTGCGCGCCTGTTTGTGTGTGTCAGAGAGAGAGAGACAGAGAGATCAAGATGTTAATGGAGCTACTTAGATGCCTCCTTGCCAAAAACACTGTTAAAAAGTACCAAACGGAAAAATATTCCCGAAATGGAATGCGAAGAAAACGGAACAACAGTCGTGTGTCCTTGGGACACAGAGGGATTCCTGGCCCAGGAGACAGCTGGCCTGGCCTTGAACAGGGACCAGGCAAAGGGAGTTTGTGTCACTCAGGTTGCTGATTGTTTAAAAGGAAATAAAACGCGATCCAGTGTTTATTAAGTTTACATGGAAAGAAGGAGGGAATGTGTGTTTTCCTATTGCTTCATTTTTTTTAAATTACGATTTTAGTCTACAGTACAGTATTTCCTTATGCACTAACATAGGTTATCTTGGGGGCTGGCTACTGAAGTAGAAAGATGGGGAAGAAGTCTCACAAATAAACACCCTGTGACCTGTGTTTGTGTTTATGGGCATTTCAGTATAAGACTGGTTTTGCCACCTTTCACAATTTACTGCCTAAGCCAAGAAACACAAGCTCTGTTAAGACTGATTACTGATTAGGTAGCCTCAGAGACGAAGTACACACCTATTTACACTTCTTGATTCAAGGGGCATGAAATGTGACTCCAAACAAGGAATCTCTCCAAGTAGAGATAGGCTTTTTATTCATCCTTTGATCACCCAACCTGGGAGGGGGGGGGCTAGAATCTGAAAGGTTTTTAAAATTGGTGGTGAAATCATAAACAGGGATTTGTCCACAAACTGTGTGAGTGTTTAGGGCTTTTTTGCATGAAAATTTCCAGACTAGGGTGGTCTGGTGCTATAATCCAAAAATGTAATTTTTTGTTCAAGTTTTGTTTCTGCCATCATGGTAGGCATGTTGTGGCAACAATAGCCTGACCTACTTTACAGGATTGTTGTAAGGATAAAGTGGGAAGGACAGCCATATGTACTCTCTTGAGATTCCTGGAGGTATGCCGGAATATAAACGTAACAAATAACAGCAACTGAGCTTGGAGTGTGCCACACCCCACAATGCATCCTTTTAAATTTATTTTACAGTAGTGGCAGAACTTTGCTGGCTGTTCTCTGGCTCCACTCACAAGAATGCACTTCAGATGGATCTTAATGTTACTCAACTCTTGATTCTCAGCCACAGGACTGTCCTCAAAATGGACAGCGCTCAGCGCTCAGAAGCATAATTTTTCAAGCTATAACAGAATTCCCTGCTGGGAGATTCTGGAAATTGTAGTCCAAAAGGCAGCTTTTCAAGCTCTTGATTATTTCAAAATTCAGCTAAGTTCTATGACATATATTTCCAAGTATTTACATGTGCAAATTTTCAGTTATTATTTTTGTAATACTGTAGTGGCAAAGACACAGAGGAAGAAAAATCAGAACTGAGCTGGGAAACTACATAAATTATGTTTTCATGCATGTTGTTCCTTTGGCTACAGTTGAATTTCACTAAATTTAGAAGTGAGCAGATGAACATTTGCTTCTGCAATCTTCACTCCATGTTTACTATAATAAGTGCTAAATGATGTAGTAACATAGCTATTCCTGCCATCTCCTCATGCTATGCTGTTTCAGTTTGCAAAATGGGTTATTTATTTCACTTTGACACTTTTGAAAAGTAGTCTAATAACATTCTATGCACATTACATTAATGTACAAAGTTCTTCACAATTTAGAAAAATTATCTTTAAAATATTCAGATTTTGACCCATGTACAATTATAAACCAAAGTTCAGCCCAATTTGAGTTAAAGTTTCTCAAAAATAACTATATATTTTTTTACATTTTGATATAAGTGACATGGTTAATTTTTATGTAACTCAGGAGGACTTACTCCCTGGTAATTTTGTTTAGGGTTTCTAAACAAAACTATAGGGCCACTATTTAAAGAGGAAGACTGGAATTAATATTTCTACATTGCATCACTTCATCATTAGATCAGGGAAAGGATGGCAAATTGCAGGCCTTCACAAATAGGACAAAAAACATTCCATACATGTTCTGAAGATCCACAGAAAAGCAGAATCTGTAATCTGCCTGTAGATTAGTTACTTAGATCTGGTATAACATTCAATATACTGAATTGCAGGCCTTCACAAATAGGACAAAAACATTCCATATATGTTCTGAAGATCAAGAGAAAAGCAGAATCTGTAATCTGCCTGGTATAACATTCAATATATGTTCCAATCCCCAAGGAAGGATATGCCAAAGAGAGTACTAACTATAGAACCATTGCTCTAATTTTCCATGCAAGCAAAATGTGATGCTCAGGGTGTTGCAGCAAAGGTTTTTACCCTATATGGAGTGAGAAATACCTGATGCTCAAGGTGGATTCCAGTATCTTATTGCAAATACTGTATCCACAAGCTGCTGGAGCGCACTGAAGAATTTCAGAAGATCATTCCATGCTTTATAGACTATAGTAAAGCTTTAGACTGTGTAGAACATGGAAGCTTTACATTGTTTTTAAAGAAACAGGTGTGCCTCAACACTTGATTGTCCTAATGCATAACCCGTATTGTGGACAAGAAGCTACTACTGGGAGAGAATACAGAGACACAGAGTGCTTTTCTATAGGCAAATATGTCAGATAAGGTGCATGTTATCTTTCCATCTGTACACAGAATGTATTATACGGAGAGCTAGACTAGATTCAGATGAATGAAGAGTAAAATGTGGTAAAAGGAACATCAATAATTTAAGATATGCAGATGACATGTATTGGCAGAAAGTAGGAATGACTTGAAACTACTTCTGATGAAAGTGGAAGACGGTTATGGTAAATCAGGACTGCAGTTGAAGACGAAGAAGACAAAAATCATGGCTACATGTCATACTTTGAGTACATTATGATAAGGCAAGATTTTCTAGAAAAGACAATGCTGTGAAAGGCTGAAGTTAGGAGGAAAAGAGGAAGACCAAAAAAGAGATGGATTGACTCCCTAAAGGAACTACAGGCTTGAATTTGCAAGAACTGAATAGAGCTGTTGAGAACAGGACATGTTGGAGGTCACTCATTCGTAGGCAACGTGATGGAACATAACTACAACAGAATAAAAGTAGTACTCCAGTGTATGGGCTTACTTTCTGTATAGAATTTGGATACTAAATTTGAGTCATTATACCTGGGATTCCTCAAGTTCTACGTACTTTTGAGATTTAATCCTTCAAGTTCCATCCAACTGCAATTGTAATCTGAGAGTGCTGTCTTGATAGTGTCATATCATTCTGCACCTCAAAGCAAAGCAAAGCAAAAGCATGCTGCTTATATACCGCCCCATAGTGCTTCGAGCACTCTCTGGGCGGTTTACAAGTTAATTATGCAGGCTACACATTCCCCCCCCCCCGCGAACTGGGTA